TCACAATACAGAGATGAGTGGAGGGTCACAATACAGAGATGAGTGGAGGGTCACAATACAGAGATGAGAGGAGGGTCACAATACAGAGATGAGAGGAGGGTCACAATACAGAGATGAGTGGAGGGTCACAATACAGAGATGAGAGGAGGGTCACAATACAGAGATGAGTGGAGGGTCACAATACAGAGATGAGAGGAGGGTCACAATACAGAGATGAGAGGAGGGTCACAATACAGAGATGAGTGGAGGGTCACAATACAGAGATGAGTGGAGGGTCACAATACAGAGATGAGTGGAGGGTCACAATACAGAGATGAGCGGAGGGTCACAATACAGAGATGAGCGGAGGGTCACAATACAGAGATGAGTGGAGGGTCACAATACAGAGATGAGTGGAGGGTCACAATACAGAGATGAGTGGAGGGTCACAATACAGAGATGAGTGGAGGGTCACAATACAGAGATGAGTGGAGGGTCACAATACAGAGATGAGTGGAGGGTCACAATACAGAGATGAGTGGAGGGTCACAATACAGAGATGAGTGGAGGGTCACAATACAGAGATGAGTGGAGGGTCACAATACAGAGATGAGTGGAGGGTCACAATACAGAGATGAGAGGAGGGTCACAATACAGAGATGAGTGGAGGGTCACAATACAGAGATGAGTGGAGGGTCACAATACAGAGATGAGTGGAGGGTCACAATACAGAGATGAGTGGAGGGTCACAATACAGAGATGAGTGGAGGGTCACAATACAGAGATGAGTGGAGGGTCACAATACAGAGATGAGTGGAGGGTCACAATACAGAGATGAGAGGATGGTCACAATACAGAGATGAGAGGAGGGTCACAATACAGAGATGAGAAGAGAGAAAAAGCGCTTGCCGCATAACACTAAAATTTACTGTCAGATATCGGGCGCAAAATATCGTCTTGCTGGCCGCCATTGTTTGAGACCCCCTGAAAAATTTTGCACAAATAATAATGCATAAAATAGAAAAAAGTACAATTCAGATACAGTTATGTAAATAATTCAGAACCAACACACTCACACACACTCACAGGCATACACTCACTCTCTCTCTCACACACACACATACTTCGAACACATTCTAAATGCTGGGAACATGTTTCAAATTGTGCACTCGACTATTTTTTCGGACATAAAATCCAGACAACACCAGACTGAGAGGATTCTCAATTCACCAGCCTTGGTTATCTTTTTCTTTACTAGCTAGAATTTCAGTGTACTGAGCTGAACGAAGGTTTTAGAAGCGCGCAGTTACCGATCATAGGTCAAGTCTAAGATAAAAGATCAGAAATAAATTTAAAAAAGGAAAAACTTAATTTCAATTTACTCATAAATTTTAACAGAGGTAACGCATTATACCAAGGTTACAAACGTACATAGTACATCAGTTAAATACTTGCTGCCTTACACAAAAAAGCATTTGGAAATTACCGAGAATCGATCTCTGATTTTTTTTCTGTCAATGAATTCTCAGCTACCTATACACATTTAACTTTGGCCTGTTTGGGGGCTTTTAAATTTGGTGGACTGGTGAACACATTTCTCTTTGAACCAGAGACCAATGTAAGGTTCATTATTTGTTTGTTATTTTTATACATTGAACCGATTAATAGCTTTCTGGCAGGCACTAGATAACCAATTTATAGATTGCAAACAGGCGCTAGATATCTGATTTATAGATTGTAGACAGGCACTGGCCAGGTTACCACCAGCTCTACTCTTTGTAAACTAAATTTTACATACTCTCCTTACTTAAATCACAATACGCTCCAAAATGACTCTCCGTACATCCCTTGGAACACCTCCCGTCTCTGTGACATAAGTTTTTTGCGCAACCTTTTTTACAAGCTGAAACAAAGGTAAAAAAAAAGTGATGACAAGATTACTATGAATGAATCATTACACAAGGGTAAAATTATTTTCTGTATGCCGACGATTGTGCCATGAACGGTGGAACGGAAGCCGATATTCAAGTGTTGGTATTTCTCCAATGCCTGCATAAACTTATGTCACACAATGAACACAAAAAAGACTGAGGTCCTGTACCACCCAACTGCCCAAAGTCCTTATCGTGAGCCCAACGAATAAAGTATATGGCAAAGGCTTAACTTGGCAAATGGCTTCTCAAACCATGGCAGCACACTGTTCCAAAGCTGCCCTATCAATGACGAGCTAAAGTTTCGTAATGCAGAAACCCGTGCAACCTATGGCAGATTGTCTAACAATGTATGGACCAGGCGAGGTATCAGTGCAACCTATGGCAGATTGTTTAAGAGTGTATGGAGCAGCGAGGTATCAGTGCAACCTATGGCAGATTGTCTAAGAATGTATGGACCAGGAGAGTTATCAACACCCAAACTGAAATGAAGGTATGCAAGGGGTTTGTCCTCCGTGCGCTTCTCTTTGCATGTGAAGCGTGGAAGGTATATCAACGCCATGCAAAAATGTTGAACCACATTCATGTGACAAGTCTCAGAAAAATTCTAAACACCAAATGGCAGGACAGGGTCCGAGACACTTAGATACTCGCCCAGGCAGTTATCCCAGCCTCTCCAGTATCTTTAACAATTTAATGTAGCAACAGCTCACCTGACCGGGGCATTTGTGCGAATGTCAGAAGACCGCTTGCCCAAAAGAATATTCTATGGCAAGCTGGAGCATTGAATGTGGTTAGCTGGTGGTCAGAAGCAACGCTTTAATGACATCCTTAAAGTCTCACTGAAAGCGTCCGATATAGAAACGAAAATTTAGGAAGAAGCTGCAAAGGACCAATAATCGTGGCATTCCTCTGCACACAAAGCCTCCATACAAAATAACGTGAACAGAACAGCGGCTTTGCAGAGCACAACAGACATGCCAGAGAAGCCCTGGTAAACTCTACGCCTGGAGATGTCCCATCAATCTTCTGCACTTACTGCACAAGACCACCATTTCGCTAGAATCGGTCTCATCAGTCATCAGAACGCTCACAAACAAGCTCTAAATTAGCGAATACGATTATTAAGGTGGTCATAGTCGATTTTGACTGACGAACTTTATATTAATATAAGCAACGACTATTGAGCAATATTCCAATCCACATAAATCACTTGTCAGATGTAATCTTAAGTTAATTGCCAAATATTTAATCCATAATTTGTTGGCTTTATTTAAAACAGCAATAAAGTTAAATTGTTATCACGTCAGAAGAAACAAAAAATTTCTATTAGCCATCTGTTGGGGTCAGGACAGAACTAAACAGCAAAGCACCTCTCTCGCACGTCGTTCCAAACCATCCATTGACGCATCCCTCAGTGCAATTACCGCTGAGCTGATCACACGTTTGACCTAGACATTGACTGGAGCAATCTGCAAATAGGACATTGGCATTCCCTTTAGACGAGAAACAGTTGGTTCAATAAATAGAACACCCTTTAATCTGTCTTGAGTTGTCCTGAATTGGGAAACTTGATTCTGACATTAACGAAAGAAACTGTTCAACTAGCGTCAGTGTAACGTACCGTCGTAGGGTTGTGCAAAGTGAATATGTTTTAAGAGTTGGCTCGTCACATGAACAATACGTAACAAATGTCCGAAAACAAGCATACAAGAAAAAAAGATTCCACAGAAGTGATATTAACAATATTCAATATAATTGTGCTATTAAATTGATATAAAAAATACAAAATTAAATGGACAAGATTAAAACTATATTAACACACAGCAAGCGAAAAAGCATGATCTTCGAAAAGATACAAATATTAATATGCGTACACAAGCAAAGAGTACAATTATGGCAAGCTCCTACAAGCATATGACATTTCGTAAATGTCCAGAAAATCTAGCAAACATTTCTTCCAACTGGGAAAGCTGTCGGTTTATTTACAGGTAGGGAAGTAGAGTGCTCCAGAAAAGACATTCTGGGCATTTCATCACCCGCTGGTATTCTTTAGAACAAATTATATCGTAAACAGCGTGTCCCCAGTCAAATGAGGGGTTGGTCATGGTAGAGCGTTACACAATTAATCGGTGACGTCCATATCAAAACAAAAGTGGGAGGGGGTAAGGCTGAACGCCTGGGATCACGGGGAACTGAAACTAGGCCAACAAACACCCAAAAATAGTCTTTAAAAATCTAAGTAAAAGAATTTGACTTTCTTTTTATGTGATTCCTATATCTGCTTTAATATTAATCTAAACGTTGTGCTCCAATGATAAAGTCTTGATACCCTTTTGCTGCTTTGCTTCTGTCAATGTGGCGACATAAAACATGGCATTTTGATAGGGGAGGCAAACCCGCATGAATACCTTTATACCGCTTTAAAAGCTTTGAATTAGTTTTTTTTATACAATACAATTCGTTACAAAAACTAACTTCTTCCTGACAACATCACATAGACTTATGATCACGATCAAGGTTTAAAGCAAGCCTTGTTATAACTTTTGGAAATCATTTAGTTTAGAAAACACTGAATTTATAAAGTCAAAGTATAGAGCATAACTTGCTGACATTATGTGAAATCGCTTTCGAAATCGATATATATATTTTTGAAGAACGGCCACCATTTACGATCACTTACATATGGGTGAAGATTATGGTCAACCATAAATACGTTATCCTTTGAGGAAAGACTAATTAGCTACATTAAATGACCAAAACATATTTATTTTCACAAACGAGGACACGTGACGATTGGGGCTATTCGCCGTTGACAAACGCAAGATGCGTTAACGATGGGGAAGTTCCAGTGCTGTTAGTTTTTTGCAAATACTGTAACAACAGCCTCGAGCTGCCTTAGTCAAAATTGGCAGCATTTTTCAACTAAAAATAGCACGGCTTAATCTGATGAAGTTGTGGAAAGTACGCAAGAACGCATTGGGCAAGAGCATTTAAATAATTACCTTTTTACAGAATGTTGTTATGCCAGTTACTGTGAGATGAAAATTAGACCATTGCATTTTATTAAAATAGTTTCGTGTGCCTCACCTTTGTCGCAAAAATGTCCAAAAAACCCAGGTATGCAACCCTTTTCACATTCTCCTGTATCTGCAGAACACTGGTTGTCCACACATGTCACAGAGCAGGCTGCAGGAACAGAGATCACGGGTTAAGTTTAGCTTACACTTTTTAAACTCAATTTAACATTGACCCAAGTGGAAATGTGTAAGTGCGTATGAAAGAGGGAGAATAAAATTACTGTGAAAACCTGAGCCATAGAAGGACTCACGGCAAAAAGTACTGAGCAAGAAGTACGATGTACTCACCTTTACACATTGGTCCGAGATAGTTGGGATGGCAGCCATGTTGGCATTCTCCGGTTTCTGGATCACAAGTGCCATCCCCGGCACAACCTAGACTGCAAGCTGAGTGCAGTTTGAAAGGAAGATCTCAATGGCTTAAGACAAATTAACGTGCTTAAAAAATATCAAGTCGTTTTGTCATAAAGAGTTATTGCCAGACTTAATGCATAATGAAGAGAAAGTAGGCAATCAAGAAATAATGTAACGTTCAGTGGTATGCCTAACACACATTGCATAATTGATGTGCTTTAAAATTAACGGAACTACCAAGCGATTATCAGGAAAGATTCTGTTTTGGAGACGATAGGAGCCATTGTAGACCGTCCCGTAACAGGGGTCAATGTTTTTTAAGTGGAACACCCGACTGACCGTGACAAAACAAAGAGTTATCAAGTTGATTTGGAAATTAATATAGATGTCGAGCATATTTTTATTTCATAATATAAATGTTTAACATATTTCTATTGGGTAATATAGATGTCTAGCATTTTTTCTCCTTAATATAGATTTCCAGCTCATTTGTACATATTATAGATGTTTAGCATAATTCTATTTCATTATATAAATGTTTAGCATTTTTTATTTCATAATATAACTGTTTATCATATGTCTGTTTGATAATATAGATTTAAAGTTAAGATTTTATACCAGTGCACCCAATAGCAAACAGGTTTAAGTTAATTCATAAATTAAATACTGTACAGTTTTATTTTTAGGACATCGGCTTCTTACGAATACACTTAGGGCCGTAGTAGTCCTGTTTGCAGCCGTACTCGCACGTTCCTAGAGTTTCATGACAAGAACCGTCCTGGTCACAGCCAGCACTACAAGCTACAGTGTGATGGCGCAACACAAAAGGAAAGGGCTTGGTTTTTTTCATAGGAAAATCAACACATGTTTTGGACCACACTACGCTATAATACAGGTATCGACTAAAACAGGAACAGACATTGTCCATCAGATATAAAGTAAAAACTTAGTCTGCTAAGACAAACGACTCTTCTGCCTACTGCACAGACTGTGCCCATAATATTTCCATCATAAACAACGACTGAACATCTAACAATGCTTGAAACATTTGACTTACCAAAACACTTAGTGCCATAATGGTTAGGCTTGCAGTCACATACTCCTGTACTTTGGGTGCATGTTCCATCATAGGCACAACCACTGCTACAAGCTGAACAAAAATAATTTAGTTTATTAAGCGAAGAATCCTGGGCTAAAATTGTAAAGTCCTACGAAATTAGTCCCTAAAGAAGATTTAATTAATGTCAATATCCAGGCGTGAGATTCTAGACGGCGAAATCGAAACTGAAAGACTGCAGAAAATTTAAAAAAAATAATTTACTTATATTTATATATAAAATTTGACGATGGCGTAAACTTCGCAGGACGGAAACACAAGGCCTGGGATTGTTCTTTAGGAGGATAAGCTGCCCCCCTAGGCAGCAAACTGCCTCTCTCCACACACCTAGCGAAACCGAAGGGAACATCATATGTGGATGATATGGCTTGGCACCAGAGATTCGTAGGAGTTGCCGAAATTTTAATTTTGTCAAAGTCTTCCGCGGGACTCCATCGCCAGGTTAGAATTCAGAGTTTTCCTTTCCGAGATAAATTGCCGTCTCATATCAAGGTATCAAAATACTGTCAATGTATCAATAATCTGTCAATGTATCAATAATCTGCCAAGGTATCAATATGCAGACAAGGTATCAATATGCTGTCAAGATATCAATATGCAGACAAGGTATCAATATGCTGTCAAGATATCAATATGCAGACAAGGTATCAATATGCTGTCAAGATATCAATATGCAGACAAGGTATCAATATGCTGTCAAGATATCAATATGCAGACAAGGTATCAATATGCTGCCAAGGAATGCGAAGCATCCAAAAGCATAATTTGTGTTGAAATACTGATGAGCCATTATTATTTAGGTCCTTTATTAGATAAGTCTTGTGGAGAGAGCGTTATGAAGCTGAAGTGATTTTTTAAAAAAAGGGGTGGGGGGTGTAAGCTTTCCAAGACCAAACGAGACAGTCCTTATATCCTTATTACAAGCTGAGTTATTCATTTTTTTGGGGTGAATTTTATGAGCGTCTTAAATTGTATTTTACGCCAGACATATGATCAACCATTTGGTGTGTACTTAACGATTTTGTAAACACCTTTAAAATTATTAAATATTCTTGTTATTAACTAAAAATGTTCTATTGTTATTTACACGTGTTCTATTTCTGAATTCTGAAACTAGATCATAATTATATTTTACTCTGACACGCACACCAGACACACGCGCGCACCCGCTCACACATATACATGCTCATACAGATATTGACACAGGCTCATCCACACACATGTACACATACCCCCCCCCACACACACACACACACACACACACATAGACACAAACACGAATGCATGCACACACACGCTCGCAAGCTAGATTGCACATACACATAAAGCTAAGCTCTGAATTTAAGATTTTCATTCAGGCATTGTACAATGGTTTATAAGAACATTTACATTGCGTTAAAGTTAAAGGCACAGTTGAACAAAATAGATTATAAAACAAACCCTTAAAAACAACATTTTTGGTATAAATCCATTACAAAATTTAATATTGGGAAATAGGGTGTGGGGGCCGAAAAGTTGACAAAACATGCGTACAAGATGCGCAGTTTTTTAAGAATTCCAGTTAGTTGCACCCCCACACCAACCCTTTTAGGTTCGCACTCACCCATTTCTTTCACGCCCCTGAACTACATTAATTTATTCTAATGACCCACCCACTTTTACACCGCGGATTTAGTTCACCAACTATTTCAGAAAAGCAAAAGAAAATATTACGCACCAATCGCACTTGCGATATTTAAAAAAAATAATGTAAATATAGTGCAGCCATCGGAAATTTTCCTTCATGCCCCCCCCCCCTTGAAAAACTGGTTTTGGGTGTTTGGGGTTTGGGCTGAAAATGAGAAAGACTGTGTTGGCATTGGCAACCCGTCTATGTCCCAAGTTTCAGCTCGATAGGTTTACGGGAAGTGGGACTATAAGCCGTCCGAAGATTGTTACAGCCAGCCATTGCGCCACACAGCCAGCCAGCCAGGCTGCCACACAGCCAGCCTGCCCACCACATGGTCAGCCAGTCACTTCAGAGTCACTTCACAGCTAGTCAGCCAGACCGCCACACAGCCAGTCAGTCAACCACACAGACAGCCAGTCCACCACACAGCCAGCCAGTCAAGCACACAGCCAGAGCCAGTCCACCACACAGCTAGTCAGTCAACCACACAGCCAGTCAGTCAACCACACAGCCAGCCAGTCCACCACACAGCCAGCCATTCGGCCACACAGCCAGCCTGCCCAACACATGGCCAGCCAGTCACTTCACAGCTAGCCAGCCAGTCCGCCACACATCCAGAGCCAGTCCACCACACAGCCAGCCAGCCAGTCCGCCACACAGCCAGTCAGTCAACCACACAGCCAGCTAGTCCACCACACAGCCAGCCAGTCCACCGTGCAACCAGCCAGCCAGTCTGCCACACTGCCAGCCACCCACAAAAGTGAAGTTAAGATAAAGGATTTTTTAAAAAAACTACTTACCAGTACACCGTTCACCATAGTAGCTTGATTTACAAGGACTCTCACATACACCCGTGAAACTGCACGATCCACTATCGCCACATCCGGGACTGCAAGCTGTCCAGATTTTTAAAAAAAAATATAAGGGAGAGTTTTAATTTTTACAAGAGCGGTTACTTTAATACCTTTTTATTTTAAAAACAATTATTTAAATGAAGACATTTTGTGTTTGTGTACTATGAATCTCTTCAATCAGTTAGCCATTAAGACCGCTTCATTTCATTTTCAAGTGAAATTCTACTGCACCGACATTTACTGAAAAGTTAACATTTAGAATCGGAGATTGTATATAAATTAACTGATGTTTTTGTTTTAATTTATAAACTAAATATCCGATTTGTTGGTATCTGTTGATGAGTTTTAGGTGTTCATTTGGTATGTAGGTGTGTCTCTTGGTATGTAGGTGTGTCTCTTGGTATGTAGGTGTGTCTCTTGGTATGTAGGTGTGTCTATTGGTATGTAGGTGTGTCTCTTGGTATGTAGGTGTGTCTCTTGGTATGTAGGTGTGTCTCTTGGTATGTAGATGTGTCTATTGGTATGTAGGTGTGTCTTTTGGTATGCAGATGTGTCTCTTGGTATGCAGATGTGTCTCTTTGTATGTAGGTGTGTCTCTTTGTATGTAGGTGTTTCTCTTGGTATGTAGGTGTGTCTCTTGGTATGTAGGTGTGTCTCTAGGTATGTAGGTGTGTCTCTTGGTATGTAGGTGTGTCTCTTGGTATGTAGGTGTGTCTCTTGGTATGTAGGTGTGTCTCTTGGTATGTAGGTGTGTCTCTTGGTATGTAGGTGTGTCTCTTGGTATGTAGATGTGTCTCTTGGTATGTAGGTGTGTCTTTTGGTATGCAGATGTGTCTCTTGGTATGCAGATGTGTCTCTTTGTATGTAGGTGTGTCTCTTTGTATGTAGGTGTTTCTCTTGGTATGTAGGTGTGTCTCTTGGTATGTAGGTGTGTCTCTTGGTATGTAGGTGTGTCTCTTGGTATGTAGGTGTGTCTCTTAGGATGTAGGTGTGTCTATTTGTATGTAGATGTGTCTCTTAGTAAGTAGGTGTGTCTCTTGGTATGTAGGTGTGTCTCTTGGTATGTAGATGTGTCTCGTGGTATGTAGATGTGTCTCTTGGAATGGAGATGTGTCTCTTGGTATGTAGATGTGTCTCTTGGTATGTAGGAGTGTCTCTTGGTATGTAGATGTGTCTATTGGTATGTAGATGTGTCTCTTGGTATTAGGTGTGTCTCTCGGTATGTAGGTGTGTCTCTTGGTATGTAGGTGTGTCTCTTTGTATGCAGATGTGTCTCTTGGTATGTAGGTGTGTCTTTTGGTATGCAGATGTGTCTCTTGGTATGCAGATGTGTCTCTTTGTATGTAGGTGTGTCTCTTTGTATGTAGGTGTTTCTCTTGGTATGTAGGTGTGTCTCTTGGTATGTAGGTGTGTCTCTNCCAGTCTAGATTTCTTTTCCAATTAAAAAAATAATAATATGACTTACGAGTCAGTTAATTAGGTGAATGTCCCAATGAGAACTATCTGAGGCTTTGATGCCTTTTTGACGCATATCTAATCGTTACAGCTACAGCTGTTAGTTCGACTCAGGCTGGCAAGGAAACATGGACACTATATACCGTATTTATTGGCGTGTAACACGCACTTTTCTTCCTGAAAATAGGGGGAAAATGATTTGTGTGTGTTGTACGCCGAAATAATGCTAAGTTTTTTTCCCTGAAATTTCCTTCTTAAAATGAGGTGTGTGTTATACGCTTGTGCATTTATACGCCGATAAATACGGTAAATATATATTTATATATATATATATATATAAATATATATTTACCGTATTTATCGGCGTATAAATGCACAAGCGTATAACACACACCTCATTTTAAGAAGGAAATTTCAGGGAAAAAAACTTAGCATTATTTCGGCGTACAACACACACAAATCATTTTCCCCCTATTTTCAGGAAGAAAAGTGCGTGTTACACGCCAATAAATACGGTATATAGTGTCCATGTTTCCTTGCCAGCCTGAGTCGAACTAACAGCTGTAGCTGTAACGATTAGATATGCGTCAAAAAGGCATCAAAGCCTCAGATAGTTCTCATTGGGACATTCACCTAATTAACTGACTCGTAAGTCATATTATTATTTTTTTAATTGGAAAAGAAATCTAGACTGGAATTCACATTATTGTTACATTACATAAAGGCTAGGACATTATTAAATACATCGGTAAAATGCGATGCTAAAATTAGCTGAGATAAAATATAACAAAAAATTTAAAAAAATATGTTTCATTCCAACATGGATATAAAAGATATATATAAAAATTAATACCAATGCAATATTGCCCAAAATATTTTGGGTTACATCCATTGCTACAAGCTCCTGTATCTTGATTGCACGCGCCATCTTCAGCACATCCTGGACTGCATTCTAGTGGGGGAAAAAACTCACAACTTCTAATGTTATCTTGTTTTATTAAAGCTTGTCAATCCCCTGGCCTCCCTCACCACTCGACCCCCCCCCAAGTCACATGACAAACCTGAACATTTATGTCAGACTGACTTTGGAAAATCTTTGGGTCTACTTTCTGTGAACCGATAACCAAGGAATGCCAGACCAGTTCCACTGCAAAGACCAAAGAATGTCAGATCGGTACCACTATGAACACCAAGGAATGTTAGATCTTTACCACTATGAACACCAAGGAATATTAGTAATAATAATAAATAAAGATTATTTGTAAATCACGCTTCATCCTAAAAGGCTCGAAGTGCGGTACCAAGTCAACATTGAAGTACACAATGCAACATTACAAAAACTACATACGAGAATACCCATTCTAAGACTTTCATACCTTGCAACCATAAACAACACAGGCCAATATACATCTACAAGATAATAGCTAGATAGAAAACATCACCCCAGCAGGTGTTTTCAAAATAGATAAATAGTCTTCAAATCCGCTTTTAAAAACCCCAGTGTCTGGCTGTTTCTGAGAGCGATAGGAAGGGTGTTCCAAATTGTTGGGCCATCAAATCCGCAAGTGTGCCCATCGTAAGTCTCAAGGTGAACACGTGATATCGAGAGTTTGCCACTATCAGATGAGCGCAGTTGTCTAGTGGGTACATATGGCGTCAGTAGTGCTTTGAGATAGGACGGTGCCAGGTCATGCAAGCAGCGGTAGCACAGAATTGCAATTTTGTACTCTATGCCAGCGCGGACCGGCAGCCAATGCAACTATCTCAGAAGTGTTTAACATGGTCGAATTTGCGTTTTCGAAGAAAAATGCGAGCCGAATTGTTCTATGCTTTTTTAATGTTATCCAGGAGCGTAGCTGGAAGACCTACCATGAGAGCATTGCAGTAGTCCATGCGTGATAGCATGAATGCAGACATCAGCCTCTTTGATGCATCTAACGTTAAGAAAGGTCTGATATGGCTAATCCTGCACAGCTCTAGAAAAATCGCCTTTCAAAGCATGTTTGTTACGCACTGGCTTCTCTTGTGAGAGAAATTAATTTCCTATTTTAATTTTATGGCTCATTCAAACAGTGCCTAACAAAGGACGGTACCATAGAGAAATACTATAACACAAATACGACACCGAAAACAGTACCAATTACAATTAATAAAATTTAATTTAGTAGTAGTAAAATTATAAAACAAAAGAAACATATAAAAACATATATAAGAACAAAAAAAAAATACATGTCTCGTAAAATTACAAATATCTATCTGAATCTCCGTCTCTCTCCGTGCCTGTCAGTCCTTTATATATGCAATGGGGATCAGCTCGGTCTTTTCATCGTTCAATTTAAGCTTGTTTATAGTCGTCCAGTGCTTAACTTACTCTACTGTCTTCTGTGTCATAATAATAAGCTGAGGAAGCTGAGAGGGGGTCACAGATATCTGAAGTTGGGTATCATCTGCGAACATGTGATATAGCATATCAAACTGCTTGATCACTGCACCCAGGGGCTGAACGTACATAGTGAAAAGCACTGGGCCTAGGACCGAGCCCTGAGGTACTCCAAATTCGATGACAGATTGCGTCGAGCTCAAGCCGTTTGCGATAACTGATTGGACCCGCTTTGTCATATACAAGCGGAGCCATTTCAGGACGGTATCGGTGAAACCGAACGTATTTTCCAGACGTTGGAGAAATACCAAGGAATTTCAGATCGGTACCACTACGAATACCAAGGAATGTCAGACCGTTACTACTATAACAACCAAGGAATGTCAGACGGTTGCTACTATAAAGACCAAGGAATGTCAGACCGTTACTATTATAAAGAACAAAGAATGTCAGACCGTTACTACTATAAAGACCAAGGAATGTCAGACCGTTACTACTATAAAGACCAAGGAATGTCAGACCATTGCTACTATAAAGACCAAGGAATGTAGGACCGGTGCCACTACGAAGATCAAACACTTGAAGAAGCTGTGACCTCACGTGCGGTCTATTTGAATTACCTTGATCACAGTTATGCCCATACGTCCGTGGTATGCAGCCTTCGCACCGTCCTGTCTTATTGGAACACAAACCTCCGTCACAAGCAGAAGGACATCCTGGGATGGTAGACATTAGGGCAAACAGAAGAAAAACTAGTAACAAGATTCAACAAAATTAGGAGTTTATAAATATATATTTATTGTTATTTAACTTATCTGTGAAAATCATATGACATACAGAGTAGAATATGTACATTGTGGATATTCAGAAGCTCTTTCTTACATTTTAGATTCATGATCAAAATATTTCAATCATAACAGGACAGGTGGAAAAATAAGGATTAAGTTTGACGTTTTTGTTTCTGTACTATTTTTAATTATTAAGTTTGGGAATGTTCAAAAGTTGTATGCGGCATGAATTTGTATGGCGGTATAACTTTTTTCATCCCTGTATGTGACTGTAATATGTTTTCTTTTGTTCTGTCAAATTCGAAATTTTACATTACATATTTCTTAATAGAGCAATTGAGAATACTCTTATACAAAAAGTTTTCTGAGACTACGCTGAAAGTCTAATTTCAGAACTAATGCCTGCATGTAACAAAACACGATCTAAGCTGTTGTCTGATGTTACAAAACTAGTCATAAGATGTTGCATGCATGGGCTTCACGGAACAAACTTAAGGTCAAACTGATAGTTCATTATTACACAAAATGATGATTCATTATTACAAAGAAATTATGTTTCATAACACGCTTTCGAATGATAGATAACATAATTTTTTTAAAAGACTTACGTTTGCAATACTCGCCGAAATAACCTTCCTTACAGCCGTCTAAACACAGCCCTGTGTTGTGATTGTAATTGTCGTTTTTACAACCAAACCTACGGCCTGATGAAATGTAATGGTAAGTTTTAAAAGAAGTAGCACATAATATTTCCTAATACCAAGTTTATCCAATATACTTTTGAATGCTACACAAGACATTCACAAGGTTGTTGTGTTAATAAAAAGTTTATGTATATGAGCATGTAACACTATTGTATTGATTATAATATTGTTATATAAGAGAAAGTGGATGATAACATACTGATGTTTAAGAGGGTGGTGATGTTAACATACAGATATATATAAGAATGTGGATGTTAACATACTGAATACTCATGTATAAGAGAATGTGGATGTTAAACCGACACATGATATTATGTTTTACACGGGCGGTAGGAAGAGAAGCAAAGGTAAAAAGAGGGGGGGGGGCCGTATTTGTAGATATTCCTTAAAGAAAACTTCAATTAAAATTGATCATAACTGTTTCTATACAATTGTTTCTGTTACAATTACAAAATAAACTTAAGCATTATTTTTCAACAAAACACAAAAAAAAAAAATCATTTTATAACTTCTACCTGAATCACACATGTCACCAAAATATCCATTTTTACATCCAAATTGACAATGCCCGGTGTCATTGAAGCACATGCCGCCAACACAGTTTCCCGGACAAGCTAGATCACGATGGGATGCAGCGAGAGGAGATTTATCTGACTTTAATTTTGGCGTCTTTCTTGGAAATTATTCATATCATAAAAGTTGAGATAGCATACTCCCTCCCCCCCCCCACACACACAAACAACTTAATTATGTTTAATTTAGTATAAAGGAAATTTACTATAAGCGAGAATAATATCTGATGATGAGATTATCCTAATGCAGAATGATTAAAAGAAAAATTACTGCATTGAACCATAATATGGAAGCATTGCTATTAGATTATCCTCCGATACTTTATTAGATTTGCCTCCGATATTTTATTAGATTGACATTTAATACTTTATTAGATTGCCCTCCGATACTTTATTATATTGGCATCCCATTAACATATTAGATTGAAATCTAATACTTTATTAGATGAGCATCAGATACTTTATTAGATTAAGTATCGATACTTGATTAGATTAGCCTCCGATGCTTATTAGATTTGTGTCCGATATTTTATTAGATTGAAATCTAATACTTGATTAGATTAGCATCAGATAATTTATTAGATTAGCCGTCATTCTTGATTAGATTGACATCCGATACTTTATTAGATTGACATCCGATACTTTATTAGATTAGCCATCGATACTTGATTAGATTGGCCTCCGATACTTGATTAGATTGACACCCGATACTTTATAGATTGGCATCCGATATTTATTAGATTATCCTCTAATATTTTATGAGATTGGCCTCCGATACTTTATTAGATTGACATCCGATACTTTATTAGATTGATATTATATGATATCGAATATTTTATTAGATTGCATCGATGATTTTAAATACGAGGCCCCGAGAAAGCCGCTCCTATGCGACAGGTTTCGTCCCAGCTTTCGTCCCGACCGAAAGACTCCCTGGATGGTGGGGGGAGGTAACACAACACCTTTCCCCCGGAGTGGAAGCAAAGCCATCCTGACCCAAGGAGAGTGGACCGCAAACGCTTTAAACGCAGCGTTTTCGGTCGACCGGACGTTCCCAGGCCAGGTGGGAGGTGTGCCGGGTTGGGGGGGGGTATTAAGAGCTCGCGCTCGACGACCCACCGACGCCATCTGCAATGTGACGTTATTAGATTGGCAATACTTTGTTAGATTGGCCTCCGATACTGATGATGTGCCGGATGAAACCAGAGCCGTTGCGTTGGCCATGTCACCTTTACGTCTGCTGGGGGGGGGGGGGGGTAAGAGATTTAAGGGGCCCAAAGTATTAAGTGATGTCGAAAAAAAATCATAAACTTTTCAACTTTGAATGCAGGTCAAAACTGAAGCAGGAGGCCTCCAAAAGTCACATGGTGGCTCTGGATGAAACCTAGTCGTGTTGAAAAAGTAGGTTTAACAAAACATTTTTTTAAATCCGTTAAAGAATATATTTTTACAAGTTCAGAGCAATTATTTAGATGTTTAGACGCTATATCTCAGTGACTTGGATGTCTCTATGAGCTCAGTAAGCTTAATGTTTCCTATTCTTACTTGCTAGGAGCAATTGTTTCTTATTTTTTCATCTTTTATATATTTTAAAATGTGTGTATTGTTTTTTTTTGGTTGCTGTAAATAGGTCACTGGTCCACACGACTGCTGTTTTCGTGTCGTGTACGTTACAACGCCTTTGTTAATTTTGTTCACAGTTTTGCAAGAACGTTATTTTTTAAAGCAACTCCTAATTTTTTTCCAGCACACAATTAATAATAATAATACTATAATTTTAAAAAGCAATTACCTTGACATTTAGATCCATGAAAACCTGGCAGACATCCATCGGTACATGCCCCTGAATGCAGATGGCACGTGCCGTCTTCAGCACAGCCAACGGAGCAAGCTATGTACATTTACAAAATTAGAATTAGATTGTAATGTGTTTTTTTCTATCATTAAGATCTTATTGACTACTTCTTACACGTTCTTCAGCTTTCATTCCATCCTTCTCAGTTTTATTCTTTATCCTGAAACCATCACATTAATAAAGACAACAAACCATCTTAACTTTACATTGGCTTGGTGTGCATACAATTTGGCTTAGAATTATGTTCTCACCAATACACACTTTTTGGCCAAGTATTTGAGGTCCTTATGAAGTTAAAAGAAAACAATATAACTTCCTTTGTATGCTGAAAAAAAATATATTATATATGCGCGTGTATATAATATATATATATATATATATATATATATATATATATATATATATATATATATATATCACAACTGTTTAAAGCAAAAATTTCTAGGAAAATCAGGGTTGCGACATATCAACTAGGCATCATGATCGCGTAATGTTACTCCCGGTGGGGTAATCATTTAACACCGGAGAATCGTTTTCTCTCTTGTTCACGTTTGAGCAGAGGGAAATCAGGTTTTTTAAAATGTTTATTAAAGATGGTGGAGATAATGTCGATTGCTTTTCATTTTTTAAGTTGCTACGGCAACGATTTTGTTAACTAATAGCAGTTATATTTACGTTTAAAAGGGGCGTGCAACTCCCCAATATACTCGTCGACCTGTATGCGGGTAAATGGCATATATCCACTCTGACAAGGCCAAACTAAGGGTGACATCTATGCAATGGTTCGACCGATATGCGAGTATTTATACAGGCTTATGGTAGGATACTTTAAAGAAGTCGATTATCAATGTGCTTTCGTCGAATGAACGTGGTCCACTGCGATAATCAGAAGAAAGCTGTGACAAATTTGATCAGTTTGCCTGGCTCATAACACAATACTGTTATAACGTTTTTCATTGCAGAGGGAACAGGGATGAATTTCCTCTGATGACTCTTTTGCTCTGCCGCAGCTGTCCCGTCAGACTCGTGCAGCCTGAAGCCCATATGTTCTTATGAGCCGCACGAGGCTTGATGACTCACAGTTTGCTACCACGTATCAAAGATACTGTCGAATGATGGCTTGAAGAGTTTCTTCTGCCATGAACGGAACAGCTGCTTTTGCCAAGCTCAGACGATTACCTTCCTAGCACAGTAGGGACTTCATGAGACGATGTAGAGAAGGTCTGCCAGGGCAAGTACTTCAAGAGTAAAGAAGCTTTAACTGACATTAAATACTATCAATGTTTTTTTTGCCCTGGCATGAAGACGTTGAGTTTTCTATAAGAGGTGATGCTCCTTCTCATTAAATTATTGTTGTACAATCTAAAGAAGAAGGCGCCGCTCTGCCAATACAAATGGTCAACTTGCTGGCAATGGTGACGCCCTGGACAAACGTGCTCCCCGGGTACGTGACGTCACTTTGTTTGTTGTGCTGGTCGCTAAGGTAGGACTTCTTGATCCTTCTTACCCTGCAGCCAGTGTGAAAGGTAAGGGCACTACGTTGCTCACCAGCGTGTTAACCGGCGTTGAGGAAAAACCATAAGATAAACAATACTATGGGCAATGTAAAGCTCTATCACAACAAACAAAAACTTAGAAATATAGACATACCACATACATGATTAAGGTACAATTTTTATCCAGCATGTTAGGAATATCCCTAAATCAGACGCATTCAATAATTGCGCCCGATTTCAGGCATCCATATACATTTAATTTTAGTTAAAGTTACTTTTAATCTTGATGAAATCATCAAACCCCTCAAAGAGCAAAAGTAAACAAGATGTCAGCTCTACAACCTGATAAAGTCAGTGTATGATTAAGGACATTATTTCTCATTGTTACCCACAAAATGAAACAAGATGCCACACTATTAAGTGTTGGCACGTTTGATCAAAAATTAACAATTATTCGAATGTATCTTCCGTATTAATTACGCATTCAAATAAAAAGCGAACCCACGCAAGCATTTCGGACCAAAATATTTCAAGTTGCAGTCAATGACGCATAGTGGCTTGTCTTCATTACAGGTTCCGTTCAGTGGGCATCCACTGCTGCAGTCTGAAATAATGGAGCGTTTGAAAATATAAGCTTAATATCATGATATTTGCTATAGAATGGAATGGGAGAACACGGGTTGTGACTAAAAAAATCTCATTAAAAAGATTCTTCTGTTTGATTTTGAATTGATTGATTCAGGTGCTTACTTCGTTTACCGGACATTCGTTCGAAAGGAATTGAACGGAAATTTGGTCGAAAAGAAATTTGGTCGAAAGGAAGTTTTTGGGAAGGGAAATTTGTTTTAATTATATTTTTTTATAAAAATATTTTTATTGTTGGTAAGGTGAGTTAGAAAAGGGGAGATGCCTTCGAATGCAATTTGTTGGAATTTTAAAGTAAAAAATCCTTTTCAAATGATGAGTCTACGAGGGTGAAAAGGGGAGATTTATTAGACTGGAAGCTTTTGTTCAAACAAATTTATCTTTTTAAGTATAGTTTCAACTGAAGGGAGTTGACCTTTTCTTTGCAAGGGTCAACTAATTCAAAGAATCAGAAAAAATGCAACAAGGACAGTCACATATAGCTATATCATTACTTCTAGCCCTGCTTATCATTTGATTCACTTCAATTTTCGCAACAATGCGATGCATGAAGAGATCCACCGAATGCGATTTTTCTGCCGAAACCAAACCGAAAGCTAGAGAGGAATTTCGGCCGTCACCGAAGCCGAAAGATTCATAGCCCAGCAAAAAAGATTTAAAGCTGTTATGAAACAATGATGCAGTATAAAACTGTAACAATGCTTCAATAATTAGTCAGTAATCCGCAATCCCAAAACTATTCATTACGAACCTCCGCTTGCAGCAAGAGTCGTGGAGTGGAAGTTCGATCGGCGTCAATGGTTTAGTTATTGACGTCGAACAAGCGAATGTCATGCCTAATGATAACCATGACGAATCACAACCATGCGGAATGACAGTCATGCTAGCTGACTATCATGGCGAATGATAATCAAGCCGAACGAGAAACCATGCCGAATCACAGCTAGGCCGAATGTGATCATGCGGAATGACAATCATGTCGATTCACAACCGTGCCGAATCACAACCGTGCCGAATCACAACCGTGCCGAATCACAACCGTGCCGAATCACAACCGTGCCGAATCACAACCGTGCCGAATCACAACCGTGCCGAATCACAACCGTGCCGAATGGCCATATCGTCTAATGCCTTAAAAACTTGACCTCCTGTGCATTTTTCTTTTAAAAAACACTTAAGTAAAAACTATTTTCCATATAGTAGCAAGACAGAAAAACTTGCATATAGTAGAAAGACAGGAACAGTCTCATATAGTAGCAAGACAGAAAAACTTGCATATAGTAGCAAGCAAAGACTTCCATATAGTAGCAAGACAGAAAAACTTGCATATAGTAGCAAGCAAAGACTTGCATATAGTAGAAAGACAGAAACACTTGCATATAGTAGCAAGACAGGAAAACTTGCATATAGTAGAAAGACAGGAACAGTTGCATATAGTAGCAAGACAGAAAAACGTACATATAGCAGCATAACAGAAAAACGTACATATAGTACCAAGACAGAAAAACTTACATATAGTAGTAAGACAGAAAAACTTACATATAGTAGCAAGACAGAAAAACTTACATGTAGTAGCAAGACAGAAAAACGTACATATACTACCAAGACAGAAAAACCTACATATAGTACCAAGACAGAAAAACTTACATATAATAGCAAGACAGAAAAGTTACATATAGTAGCAAGACAGAAAAACTTACATATAGTAACAAGACAGAAAAACTTACCTATACATTTAGGATCCAAACTCCCAGCCGCACAATTACCAGGGCAAACGCCGGTATCTCTATGACAACTTCCATTTGTACAGCCATCACTGCAGGCTGAAACATTTACTACGATAAATAGACCTTTGATTTTTAAAAAAAAAAAAAAATCTTTGAAGCTTGGATTAGTATGGTATGTGTGTGTTTTGTGGGGGTGGGAGGTGGGGGAGCCTCTCATCTACTTGGCATTGCCAATCTGTAGTCATTACACATTTACTACGCTAGGCTTGAATCTTCTTGAGAATAAGCCACCCTTGGCCGGCTGGGGTAAGCCACCCTTGGCCGGCTGGGGTAAGCCACCCTTGGCCGGCTGGGGTAAGCAACCCTTGGCCGGCTGGCGTAGGTAGGGACTATTGTTATGACTGTTGTGTTAAAAAAAAAAGGTGGTCAGCAGCAATCAGAACCTAAGAAAGCAGTTCTCGTCTGTGAGAAATGTCAGCATTAGACTTTCATCAACCTATTCGCTAATGAGTTGTAGGCCTTGAATGCAGGGGGGGGGGGATACATAATTGAAACCTTTATCTACGAAATTAAGTTCTTCACTTATTTTAAACAAATGTTCATTTCTTAAAAAAGAACCACAATAAATATAATTTTTTATTCCGTTATTTGATCTTAATAAGTTGTTGATCGACTTATTCAAAGAAGAGCTTTTACCGAGTGCGATTAATTTAAAATGTAATTTGACATCACAGTACAAACATATTATAGGGAATTTATTTAACATTATTTGGATCTGCAAATTTTTTGTTTGTTGTTTTTTGTTTTTTTTGTTTTTTGTTTTAACGAGTAAGTCTCTTAGTCAAACTTAGTTGAATAATATGTAATGTCATTGAAAAGATTCCTTTGGTCTGACCTATTCCTAAGTTCTAACTAAGTCCTAAGTTTACTTTTTGGTGAACTGGATTAGAATTATTCCCCTTCAATATTAATAGCATAGTAATTTCCGGCCCTGGGGGGCGGGGCACCTGACATTCCCCTCCACTCCCCCCTTTACTTGACCTACTCTGCGCTCATCCTTATCCATCCGCATCTCCTCCACATAACCATACAATTCTTATCACAATGAAGCCATAACGAAGACTGAAAGTCTGACTCTTCCACATAACCATACAATTCTTATCACAATGAAGCCATAACGAAGACTGAAAGTCTGACTCTTCCACATAACCATACAATTCTTATCACAATGAAGCCATAACGAAGACTGAAAGTCTGACTCTTCCACATAACCATACAATTCTTATCACAATGAAGCCATAACGAAGACTGAAAGTCTGACTCTTCCACATAACCATACAATTCTTATCACAATGAAGCCAAACGAAGACTGAAAGTCTGACTCCTCCACATAACCATACAATTCTTATCACAATGAAGCCATAACGAAGACTGAAAGTCTGACTCTTCCACATAACCATACAATTCTTATCACAATGAAGCCATAACGAAGACTGAAAGTCTGACTCTTCCACATAACCATACAATTCTTATCACAATGAAGTCATAACGAAGACTGAAAGTCTGACTCTTCCACATAACCATACAATTCTTATCACAATGAAGTCATAACGAAGACTGAAAGTCTGACTCTTCCACATAACCATACAATTCTTATCACAATGAAGCCATAACGAAGACTGAAAGTCTGACTCTTCCACATAACCATACAATTCTTATCACAATGAAGCCATAACGAAGACTGAAAGTCTGACTCTTCCACATAACCATACAATTCTTATCACAATGAAGCCATAACGAAGACTGAAAGTCTGACTCTTCCACATAACCATACAATTCTTATCACAATGAAGCCATAACGAAGACTGAAAGTCTGACTCTTCCACATAACCATACAATTCTTATCACAATGAAGCCATAACGAAGACTGAAAGTCTGACTCTTCCACATAACCATACAATTCTTATCACAATGAAGCCATAACGAAGACTGAAAGTCTGACTCTTCCACATAACCATACAATTCTTATCACAATGAAGCCATAACGAAGACTGAAAGTCTGACTCTTCCACATAACCATACAATTCTTATCACAATGAAGTCATAACGAAGACTGAAAGTCTGACTCTTCCACATAACCATACAATTTTTATCACAATGAAGCCACAACGAAGACTGAAAGTCTGATGTTTATTTTTACAACAGTGTTAGCTAAAAGGTTGTGTTGCAAGAAAATCATCGACAAATGAAGCCATCTTACCTAGACATTTGGCGCCATAGTGGCTTACTTTACATCTTTCCAGGCATGTTCCGTCTTTTGGGTGACATAGGCCACTACCAGCACAGCCTTCACTACATGCTTGGTACCATTCATAAATGGGGGAATTTAAAAAAAGAAATAATAAAGAATTAAATAACACAAACAAAGAAACTAACAAAGAAACAAATCTCATCTAGCTGTTTACTAATATTGTCGGGGAGAATTGAAATTGAATGATTTCATCGAAGTGGCTATTCGTACCCGGGAACCAGTAGTGGGAGGTTGGGATTAAAAAAAAAACTATTTAAAATATTATTTGTTGGGTTTGTAAGACAAAATGAGGTATCAAATGAAAGATAATTGAATGGACTATATGTTTGCAAACTTAATTCTTCAGTTTAACTAAAATAAACTACCACAAATGACATCAGAATGGGATTTAGCCAAAATGGACCCGGACACGCTTCGCCACCATTTGCACCCGGGTCCCATTAGACTGTGCTCGCGCTCAGTGCGCCATGGCCATAGTGTAAAAACAAAAGCAAGAAAGTCATAAAGATTCTCATAGAGTGTGCTGTATTGATATTAATAAAGATTCAAGATCAATACAGCACAGTCTATTAGAATCTTTATTAAGATCAACACAGCACATTCTAAGAGAATTTTTATTAAGATCAATACAGCACAGTCTAAGAGAATCTTTATCAAGATCAATACAGCACAGTCTAGGAGAATTTTTAATAAGATGAACACAGCACCGTCTATGAGAATCTTTATATTAAGTTCAATACAGCACAGTCTGTGAGAATCTTTATTAAATAAAAATTATCTTAGACTGTGCTGTATTGATATTAATAAAGATTCTCATAGACTGTGCTGTATTGATATTAATAAAGATTCTCATAGACTGTGCTGTATTGATATTAATAAAGATTCTCATAGACTGTGCTGTATTGATATTAATAAAGATTCTCATATACTGTGCTGTATTGATATTAATAAAGATTCTCATAGACGTTGCTACCACAATATTTAGAAATAAATATAATGAATTTAATTACAAATACAAATAAATTACAGATACAATTTTGGCCAAAAAACACAAATAACATACCTAAATTCTCAGGACCAACATCACAAATAACTTACCTGTACATTTTGGGCCGTAATGTTTTGCTTTGCAGCCATGAACACATACTCCATCTGTTTGGTTACAGGACCCATCATTGTCACAGCCGGTACTGCATGCTGATAGTAATAAATTAAATCAAGATGTTGTTTACGCCACCTGACGTGACGTCACGCTGATTACGATGCCATAACTCCCCGTCATGGTCAGCCTGGACCCGATGAGCTGGCACGCGGCATGGGGTTCACATGGGGGGGGGGGGCAGTCTCAGAAGGCAAGGAGTTACCACGGGCAGGGATCTCAAGGGACAAGGTTAAGTGCTGCTTAGATGACTATTGATTATTGTAATGTAATGGGGAGTAATGGACTCTGTCGCCATGACGAGTGTTGATTTATTAATACGAACAGAAGTGTGGACGGAAGGCATACTACCAAGACAACGCTCTTAACATAAGTTATTCATTCAGCAAACTCTGAAATGAAATCAGGAGGCGGAGTCCCGTAGGTGCAACAACTCTTGCCACGTAGAGCGCATCTAGAGCACAGTGAAACAATGCTGGTCATCCACTGCATTCTGGTCAATTTCCAGTCGTCTTGACCAGGTCTTGCCATTGGATCAAATAGGCAAAGACGAGAGAGTGAGGCTAACAAATACACAAATACAGCTCAAGTCAAGGCTACTACACAAGTCGAAGCCTTGGTCATCTTCGAATACAAAGGATGATATATAGACATATATATGAACTATATTAAACTATTTTCTAGTCTTCAGCAAAAACGATATTCTTATTTAGGGGTCGTTCCCAAATTACCTTACGCTCAAGGGGGTCAAGAATTTGTGACACTTTGTGACAGTGGGGAGGGGACCAAGAATTTGTGACACTTTGTGACAGTGGGGAGGGGACCAAGAATTTGTGACACTTTGTGACAGTGTGGAGGGGACCAACAATTTGTGACACTTTGTGACAGTGGGGAGGGGGACCAACAATTTGTGACGTCACACTTTTTATTTTTAAAATCTAAAATTTTCTTATTTTGAAAAATCTTTATTAATTTTATTTCAAAAACATTGATACGAGGTTGAAACCTAAGGGATTATTGGTACCCCGAAACTCAGTCGCTCACACCATCTGCGCATATCGAGAAATGTCGTAAAAACTGTTGTGGCCATTTTCCATTCAAATTGGGGAGGAATTTGTTGTTTTGCGTTTTACGTCACAGTTTTTAATAATACTACATCTTAATTAATTTTGAGGCAGACACCAAAAAGAGTGGGCACGACTGGGGACAGCTGGAGAGACTTGCCCAAGACCGGGATGCCTGGAGAGCCTTTGTTTGTGGCCTTTGCCCCAGATCGGAACACAGGCGATGATGATGATGAATTGATTTTGGGGAAATTTTTAAGAATAAAATAAAATCTGAGTTTAGTTATCTAACTTTTATGTAATGTTTTGAATTTTTTTTATGTGTGATGTGACACTGACACTAAAGGGGGGTGAGGTAACGAATGTGTGACACTTTGTGACAGACAGGGGGTAGGGTTGTTTGTAAAGGTCATTTGTGGCGTGACGTAATTTGCGAACGAACCCCTTATTGTTTAACAACAAACCAGCGGCCAACTGCTTGCGAGGAAACATGCTGACCGTTCAGATTGGCTAGAAGTTAATGTGGCTAAAACAACAGTGGCAACAGTTGTCAAGTGTGCAGAGCAGTTGCATGGGCTCTGCGACCTCAGCTGGTATTTGAGGGGCAAACATTGTGTTTAGGACAAAAATATAAAATAGAAAGTATCTTAATTTGCATTGAATAGATAAAAAAAAGAAAACCCAAAGAGGGGCTATGAGCCTCCAAAAGTCAAGCAACGTATTAGAATGTGTGTAATATGGGGTAGATGTAAAGCACAACTTGAGCGATCAAATTAGTTGTGACATGGATACGAGTTTTAATTAAGAGAGCAGTGGGCACTGGAAGAACCAAGTGAATGCAAGACCTCGTATAAGCAGGGGTGCAGGAAGGGGGTGCGGAGGAGGCGGTCAGCCCGGGGAGGGGGGGCACTTTTTTCTTTCTACAGCAGGGCGCCATTTTCGGCCTACACCCGAGTTTGTTTATTTTAAAAAGAAATGAAGGCGGCAAAAATGTTGTCTGGCCTAGCATAACCCCGGCAGACACGTGCCTCTTAAACCATAGTGTTGCTTACAGATTAAGGGCAACACAAGTCTAACCTTCATCACATCTTGATCCAAACCACTTGGGGTTACATCCATGAAGGCAAGTTCCATCCGTCGCATAGCATTTACCACTTAGACATTTGGCAGGGCATGCTACATGAACACAAGTACAACAATTATGGAAGCTGGCAGGGCATGCTACATGAACACAAGTACAATTATGGCAGTTGGCATGGCATGCTACATGAACACAAGTACAATTATGGCAGTTGGCAGGGCATGCTACATGAACACAAGTACAATTAAGACAGTTTGCAGGGCATGCTACATGAACACAAGCACAATTAAAACAGTTTGCAGGGCATGCTACATGAACACAAGCACAATTAAAACAGTTGGCAGGGCATGCTACATGAACACAAGTACAATTATGGCAGTTGGCAGGGCATGCTACATGAACACAAGTACAATTATGACAGTTGGCAGGGCATGCTACATGAACACAAGTACAATTATGGCAGTTTGAAGGGCATGCTACATGAACACAAGTACAATTAAAACAGTTTGCAGGGCATGCTACATGAACACAAGTACAATTAAAACAGTTTGCAGGGCATGCTACATGAACACAAGTACAATTATGGCAGTAGGCAGGGCATGCTACATGAACACAAGTACAATTAAGACAGTTTGCAGGGCATGCTACATGAGCGGGAGTACAATTATGGAAGCTGGTAGGGCATGCTACATGAACACAAGTACAATTAAGACAGTTTGCATGGCATGCTACATGAACACAAGTACAATTAAAACAGTTTACAGGGCATGCTACATGAACACAAGTACAATTATGGCAGTTGTTACTAAACACAAGTACAATTGGCAGTGGATGCTATATGAACAGAAGAACAGTTGTTGCAAGGAAAAAAAAAATTGTCATTTAAATGAACCAGAGGAAAAAAAAATTCTCGGAGCTGTTCATCTGGATTGTTTTCTCCTATAATTTCTTAAAAGTGTATAGGGCGTACATGATGAATATTCTTTTGAAAAATATCAAAAATTCTTTTTTTTTTACAGTTGATTTTTTTTTTTCAACATTCGAGGTTTAACTTTTGATTCCGCTCCTTACTTTCCTCTGAAAGGGTTATTTTTAACTTTTTTTATAAATAAATCTTATGTTATATTTTATGTTGCCATTTAATCTTAGATAATGATTACATTACTGAAATCTTTTATTGTCCGTTTTTTTTTTTAATGTTTCTTAATTCTATTTAGCTTTCAAACTTTAAAAAAAAAATATAAAAAAAAATAAAAAAAAAAAATAAAAAAAAAAAAACCACCTGAATCGCAGAAGTCTCCAAAAAAGCCAGGTATGCAGCCTCGTTCACATTGTCCCGTGTCTGCGGAACACCGAAGATCCACACAGGTAAAAGAGCAGGCTGAAGGGAAAACGTTCAAATAAATTGTGCCACTCATGGGTATTACTAGGATCCTGGCTAATATGGGCTTATAATGGCCAATCTATACAGTTATAAGAACAAAAAACAGTTTTCTTCGGGGGAAAGGGGGGGGGTAACAAAATGAGATATGATCATAATCTTTTATTGATCCAAATATGTGGACATGTGTTTTGAATAAAGTTGCAAACATTCATTTTTAACAAGTGGATAAACATTCTGAGTTATGTCCGATAAAAAAAAAATAATAAAAGGGAAGAGCTAAAACGTAAGACATTGGTAATAAGGGGGAGATACTGCAATTCTAACCTGTGTGCAGTCTCTCCCCCTTATTGGTGACGAAGTCTTCTTGCCAACACGTTCGTTGTTTTCTTGCGTTCTTTGCTCAGGTTTTTCCCATACCTTGTCTCGCTCAAAGACATCAAAAGTGTCTCTCCAGTGAATAAATACGTCATTACATATCATGAAACATCACATTCTTAATGGACAATATTGTCTAGGTTTTTTAATTGTATTTTTCAACAACCACAATTTTTATATTTTCTTTTGAAATAGAAATAAATCACTAATACGTAGTTATGTGACATAACAGGAACGAAGTGAATGTAAACCTGTGTATGAATGTGAGAACCACTAACATGGTGCTTTTCCTTGTGGCTAATTGCAAAGAACGTCGATATGTTTAACAACATGCTTCTTTATATTGTGTTTAAAAAAACAACAACTAACGAACGTGTACATTGATATAGAGCTCGGAAACTGTTGCAATACATCAATAAATAAAATAAAACATGAGATTACGCTAGTTGTTTTTATGTTTACAAAGATGTGCGATTCGCGTCCATTATTTACGTATTTAATGTATAGTTGTTATTTTTTTTGTGTTGTTTTTTTGTAAACACCATATCACACAGGCCATTGGATTAATGTATTAGCTAAATTTGCTTCAGCCTAGAACCTCACAATCTACCTGGGCCTTACAACCTACCTGGGCCTCACAATCTACCTGGGCCTCACAATCTACCTAGGCCTTACAATCTGCCGGGGCCTCAAAAAATAACCTTTAAGTCTCTTCTCCCAATGTTTACCCTTGGTTCTATTTTTCGTTTACCTGTTAATTACCCATATATTTAAAAAGCTGTGTATTTTTAATATTTCTGGAATAGCTGATGTAATTTAAAACGGTAGGGTACCTCTGGATTTCGTCTAGCCTAGCACCTCAACAAGTCAGGCTCTGACGCAGGCAGTAACAAGCAAAAAAGATGAGCACTTCTAAATTTACCTGTACACATCGGGCCCAGATAGGAGATAAGGCAGCCATGCATGCATAGTCCACTTTGTGGGTTACACGAGCCGTCTCCTGCACAACCTGCGCTGCAAGCTGAGTTTATGAACAGAGGAATAAAACGATGGCATAAAACTGAT